ATATGATGATTACAATTTTTATTAATTTTAAATCATGCAGTATGTACATACATATCTTAATTAGAGTTTTTACCAATATAATAATATCATTCAAATTATCGCAGGCGCACATAACTTCCTATGCAAACTCCTTAAGGTGGCAACCTGCGATAATAATATGTATTCGTAGGTGGACGTCTTAAGCATTGTCTAATAATTTCCCTGCTTTATATAATAGATAAATTGGTAGAGTTTGTAAACTAAATTGTGAACATTAATTATAGTAACTCATGAGGCATTGGCGTAAAATAAATGAGAAAGTTTATTTATTAGCCAATGATATCATCGCTCATCGATGCTCACGTCCTCAGGTCAAGACAGCATATTGCAATTATCATGGCTTATTGGAAATACAAAGAGACAAAACAACAGAAGTTGATAGCACACTGGCTTGGATATCAGGATATCCAACTTATTTATGACTACTCCAGGTTCATAGCCTCGTATGGGCTTCGATGTGTGTGAAACCCTTTCTGGTTGCATGTTGCGCTTGATTAGGACACAACGGTGACAGTCTGAGCTTCATTTGTGCAGAAGCGATCGCATGCATCCTCGCAACGCTCCACGGCAGCATTCACTCCTTCATTGGCAGCAACTGAAATGAAAAGGAAAATGATCGTACGCATTGGCCTTTTTCGTTGAAAACTAATGGTGATTCAGTTTCATGTTTTTCCAGCTTACAAGTGTTTATCTTGCTGCACACTGAAGAAGTACATCCCAGCTTGCAGAAGTCAAGTACATCTTATTTCTCTGCAAAACCATGCATTTCTATTTATATTATAGTAAAACTAGCTTCTTGCAGGCAAGAATGATTGAGCCAGAAATATTGTGACATTAATTAACAGTACAGAAGAATAGAAAAATGGAGTTAATAGTTAAGTCCGTTTTACCCGTATCAGAGTGAAGGGTGAGGTGATCGTAAGGTGGCTGGCAGCTCCCATCAAAGTGTTTGCAGGTAGAGAGTTTAGCACAGGCTTCCCTTGAGCCACCCGCGAAACGGCATGAGTTATAGACGTTTCTTACCGAGGTGGATGGGCAGCAGCTCTTAGCTTCCACATGGATCTTCTCCTGCTGCAGGACTAAGCCTAGCACCAGAGCACACATGATCAAACTCTTCACACCTTCCATGTTTCCTATCTGGTTTTCATTGAGATTTACTCGAGGATCAACAAGCTAAATCAAAATGGGTTCAAAGGCTACTGCTAATTTGTTGCTCTCTTTTATGCAGATGTTGGGAGTGAGGCGCCTATTTATAGGCGCAGCCAAGCATCTCACGAGCAAGCTACACTGCATGATTCAGTGATTATTTAACTAATTGGATCATTAATAACTATATTTATTGTGCTCCATATATATTCTTTGTTTGCATTAGCTGTGGTACGTACTAGCTGCCCATGTGGATCGAGTGTGCACTGTCTTCTGTAGACTGCAAGTTCCGATTTCTGAAATATTTGAGCTGCCCATGAGGTGAACGTACTGGTATATTAAAGCCATATCTTCTGCCTTACCAGCATGTATTACTTGCCCGCTATAGTTAGATAGATGTTTGTTAAAAATTTAGCAGAAAAAATAATTCAATTACTCTGCTACCACGTAATGGGCTACTACACAATAGGCAGAGCAGGTTACAACACTCTATTTGCTGCCCGCTTTAGAATCTCCGGGTGCATAATCGGCAGTGAAAATGCTACTAGCACCTAATGTTACTTAATACTCCATGCGTTTCGTGTTATATGACTTTCTAGCATTGCTCACATTCATATCGATGTTAATGAATCTATACATATATATGTCTAGATTCATAATATCTATATGAATGTGAAGAATACTAAAAATGCTTACAGAAGCAGAGTTAGCCGATAGCTAATCGGCCGATAGGCCGACAGCGTATCGTCGGTGGTCTCAGCCGATGGAGTTAGACCAAATCAGCTATAGATTGGATAGATCAAAGAATAAAAGACCCTAAACATGCCTCATCGGCTATAATACTGCTTATTAAGTTTGATAATGAAATTTAAGACATTATTATGAAAATAGCTGATGGAACAGTATTTAGAGTAGAAGAAAGATAAATAAAGATAGCGTACCAGCTAATACTCTAGTACAAACCTATATAGCCAAATCAATCTATAGCAATATATGATCAAGTAGAGACCAATTCAGCCGATATGACCTAGACTTGATATATTCCTATGAAGCGATCTGTCTATATAGATGGCGAATATACATGAAACAAATAAAGAAATATGCATATCTGGTAAGATCGGCTGAAACTCCGATACTATCCCTAATTATGATTAATTCCAGGTTAGTTTTTAGGGTTCTAAACAAGACTTGGGATGATGCATCACAAAGTAGGTAAAGAAGTCTAAAGTCTAAACAATCAAGCAATTAATCACTTTTCAAGATGGTGAATTCCTTAATCAATCTAATATAGTAAGGCGATTTAGCCGATACCAGCGAGAACCCTAAAGCCGGAACCAGCCGATAGGGCTAAATCGAGATACTAATACTAGATTAACTAAGACATATGATAGCATATGGTCATGGTAAAAGGTCTAAAACATCCAAAACAACATAATTGCTCCGATAGGATAAGCCATCGAGACAGGTTACCTCTTGTCGAGAGAACTAGCCGAAAAGAAGAACGAAAAGGGTGGCGATGCGCCGAAGTTATATTGGATTGTCTCCCGTATTACAGAGCTATGGGGTTCATATTTATACCCCGAGTACAAAGTTAGTCTATTATAGCCACGACTCAAACCTTCCTAAAGATAAGATACAAACAAGACCATATACAGTGGTCTCTTGCTAAATCTAACAAAACCCGACATAACTAACTTAATTAACAGATACAATTGCCTTAAATGAGCTCTATCTCTATTTGGCAATAAAAGTTATTCTAATCTAGGCCAATACCGAGCCCAAGTCATATTGTATCGGCTGCTCGCCTTATCGGCTAGGTGAACTTCCTGCCATGTTTCCCGCCGATACGACGCTAGCCGATGCGCAATCCGATTTCTGTTCCAACTCGATTCCACATCAAATCCACTTCGATCTTGATTCTTCCTCTTTGAGTCTGATGCAAAATTCCGTTGTTAACACATGCCCCCCCAAATTAAGCTGTATTATATAATGCAGCGGAAATAGCTCTTATCGGGCCGCAAAAGTCTAGGTGTTGGTATTTCTTAACGACTTTACTAAAAATATAAATTCCAAGTAATGGCAAAGAAATAATCCTGGTATATTTATGGTTACAGAAGTAATCCGCAAGCGCATGGATATACCATTGTTGCATTTCACCTGGAAGTATTTCAAGGTATCATATTTATTTAATCGCAAGAGAAGATTTATAAAAGAACTATGTGAACAATTTATATACATCACGTGTATAATCAAAGTCTAGGTAGGGGTTAATTCAAATATATGGGTAGAGTGACACAGCAGAAGAACTCTGATTCTCACAATAATTAATCCTAAGCTATGTGGAAGAAGAAATAGAAAAGCAAACAATTCCGATACCTCCAATATACACTCAATTCTACTCCCTCCGTTTCATATTGTAAGACTTTCTAGCATAACCAATATTCATATAGATGTTAATGAATCTAGACACATATATATGTTTAGGTTCATCAACATCTATATGAATGTGGGCAATGCTAGAAAGTCTGACATTTCGAAACGGAGGAAGCAGTTTACATCTACTAGTATACTCCCTCTGTCCCAAATTATAAGACCTATATTTTTTACACATTCTTCAATAACATACTTTAACTAGTATTTTATTTCATTCTATGATTGCAACAAATATGAAATTAGCATCACATGAAAGTACTTCGAAATATAAATCTAGTGAGATAACATGCATAATACTTAGTATTGATATAGTTAGTATGATTATTAGTCAAGAGCTACCGAGTTTGATTTTCATTAAAAAGGCGGCGCCCTAAAATTTGAAACAGAGGGAGTACAACTGTGCGGCCAATACCTCCTAATAGTGCTTTCTTGGTGTTTCGACAGACCACCCTGGGTTGCCGAGTTTTTTACGACAACCTGTCATGGCCGTCCAACCGGGACTAAATGCGGAGGAGTACACTCCCAAGGAAATTGTATTTGGAATACATGCTAACGTGGAGGAATACCCGTACTGAGCTGTCACCATCAGCGGCCCACCTCTACTGTCCCGTAGCATATATACCCAAATAATGATATCTAATAATCTAAGCACCATGCCTACATTATTAAATACTACTCTATATCCCCATGGATGACATAGAGTAATCGAATATTCAGACCTTAAACCCACACCACTGCACCTCTCTGGTAAGCTAACCCACAATTATAACAACATAGATATAAAGTAGAACCTATACTCAGAGAATGTAAACTACCGAAAGTATATCCGCTATGTTGTATTGATCTGATGATATGGTTGTGAATATGCCTTTGGAGGGCTCCCTTCCCATCTTCTACAGGTTGGGGGCAGGGTTAGAACGGTAGGAATACGACATCAGTTTTCTTCATCTACTTTACAATTTTACCAAACCAGGACTACAGGTCGTTTCCTTGATACACAAGCAAACGTAATACCCGAGGCCCCTATAATCAGTCGGATAGCCCATCCATCTACGTATATGGTACCATAATCTCTACACTGACAATTTAAAATACATAGATCCATCACAATTAAGGTAAAAGAAAAGCAAAAAAAAAAAAACACAAGTGTAAGAATATATGGATCTAACCATGGTCAAATGTTTACTTTAGCACCACATTGTCAAATCATGGCGCAATTAGGCTCAAAAGATTCGTCTCGCAATTTACACGCAATCTGTGTAATTAGTTTTTTTTGTCTATATTTAATACTCCATGTATGCATGTGTCTAAACATTTGATGTGACAGGGTGAAAAGTTTTTGCGTGGGAACTAAACAGGTCTTAACTCATGAGGCATTGGCGTAAAACAAATGAGAAAGTTTATTTATTTGCCAATGATATCATCGCTTATCGTATGCTCATGTCCTCAGGACAAGACAACATATTGCAATTATCATGGCTTATTGGAAATACAAAGAGACACAAAACAAGAGAAGTTGATAGCACACTGGCTTGGATATCAGGATATCCAACTTATTTATGACTACTCCAGGTTCATAGCCTCGTATGGGCTTCGATGTGTGTGAAACCCTTTCTGGTTGCATGTTGCGTTTGATTAGGACACAACGGTGACAGTCTGAGCTTCATTTGTGCAGAAGCGATCGCATGCATGCTCGCAACGCTCCACGGCAGCATTCACTCCTTCATTGGCAGCAACTGAAATGAAAAGGAAAATGATCGTACGCATTGGCCTTTTTCGTTGAAAACTAATGGTGATTCAGTTTCATGTTTTTCCAGCTTACAAGTGTTTATCTTGCTGCACACTGAAGAAGTACATCCCAGCTTGCAGAAGTCAAGTACATCTGATTTCTCTGCAAAACCATGCATTTCTATTTATATTATAGTAAAACTACTGTCGCGACCGAGAAAATTACCTTTTCCCGAACGCTAGTGTATTAATCCCCATCCCAGGAAAAGCCAGGTACACCATACAAACATGATACAAAAGGCACATATTTATTATATCGATAATATTTACATTATTACAAAGACACTTTAGGCCTGAGAAACAAAAATAAACAGCAGCGGACTAGCGGGCCTACGGCTCCATCTTCACAGGCGCTCAACTGGGGTATAAGCCAGGACTCCACCTAAGACTTCTTCTCCAAAGCTTCTCTTACTGAAGGGGGGAAAGATAGAGCAAGAATGAGTACAACCACAGTACTCAGCAAGCCACACCGGAGATGCATAATTAATGCAAAGGGGTACAAGGGGATAATGATATAGGGGTTAAGTTTTGCAGTAAACAGCATTTAAAAGTCACTTAGTTGCCCAAAGCTATTTTGTAAACACGATCCTAGAGCTATACAATATTATTAAGCAAGGCCGTGGACCCACACGAACCTGCCTTAACCCAAGGCCTACGATGATTCAGACCGAACTGGCAACCCGACCCTGGGTCCCAGCTCGTTCCAAGCCAACCCAGGCCAACCATTCCACATTTTAGTTATTAAGCAGGTTTTAAGAATTTAAAACACTAACTTGGGTACATTGCTAGGCTTGCCCATAACCGAGGGCTCGGCTATTCGAATAGGTTTTACTCTGATCAGAGGTGTACATCTTTACCCACAAGACACGTCTTCCTCACGTGCAACCACGTGCCACATACCACCACGGCATATGGACAGAAGACATGACATAGTTTCCAACCCATCCTAGCCATAGACAAGAGTACCGACCCAACCCACCTACGGCCGGAACCCCCGGACAGGCAGGCAGAATTGAGCCCCTAGCAGCAGGACACCAGCCCTGTGCCATGACATCTCGACTACCGGGCCGCAGCTCGTGTAGCCTTCATTTGTCCTAGAGATGTCCATTGACCCCCGACTTCGTCCATCTCCATCCGTGTACTTTTGTTTATAACCAGACTGAGCCACAAACTAATCCTTACCCACTAGACATGTGGAAGTACGGTAGTGCTTTGCAACAGAGGCCCGAAGACCGGTCCTTATGTGGCCGAGGTGCTACTAACAAAACCATGCACCCCGAGCCCAGCCTAAAACCATTTTGAGGGTTTTGAGAAGAGGGGGAGGTGTGCATCCAATTCCACAATAATCCAACCATTCCATAGTGTCCAAGTGATATGAATATTCCCAAAGTCTAGAGTTATAAAACCACCTAATGTTGCCTAATTAATCAGCGAAGCATCTACCTAACTTCATACTAGTGGAACCATGAATAGAGTACCCACTAGTTGGGTTTTTATTTATTCTAGGGTTAACAAGGTAATAATAACAATAGCAATAATAATGTCATAACAAAGGTAAATAGGCATGGCTAAATAAAACAGTGATAACGCGGGAATTTAAATAAAGCGGTAATGCATTAATTTAAATCAAAATAATTTTATAAACTGGGATTCAATATGCTCAAGGATGATGTGACTTGCCTTGCTCAGAGAGAACGACCTTCCGAACCTTCGGCGACGAACGCGAACCACGCTTCGAGAACCTCCGGAACAACAGAAGCTACGCGAAGCACACAAGCAAAGCTACAAGCCTATAAAGAAGCAAAAACAATACATAAAAAGAAAGCACACGGTTCTTTAGTTTATAACAAACATTAGGAGACTTGAACGGGTCGATTCAGAGTTCGTATGACCAAGATATGATCATCCGGAGTTTAATGTTGTTATATGGAGATTTGCGGATTATTATAATTAGGCTTTGCAACTATAAAACATGTGTAAGCGCTAGCCTGGAAAAGACAGGAAGGCTGCGCTGTTGACATGCGGACCCCACATGTCAACCTAAAGGACCGCGGTAGACCGGGTACACAGAGACGGTCCACGGGTCGACAGAAGCAGATCCCGTGTGTCAACCGAGGCGAGTGGCCGACAAACGGACTCCACTAGACACCACACGGGCTGCACACGTGGAAACCATACGGCTACCGAGCGGACACACTAACACGGTCACCACACGCACAAGCGAACGACTGCCGACACCGATACACGGGTACCGGGGCCGACAACCGCACAACGGGCACGGGCGACACCGAAAGGATGAGGACGGTGCAGCGAGGGATAGGGATCCTTACCACCACGCGACGAGGCGTGGGAATGACAACGACGAACGGGCGCGGCGGAGGCGGCCGGGAACGACAGAGACGAACGGCGAGGGGACGACTTCGGCGGCGATCCTTGGACGAAGGCGAGACGCGGCCGGCACGAGGCTTGAGACGCGGAGCCGAGGACGAAGACGACGACGGGGGCTGCAGCGACCTTGATGAAACACCGAGGACGGACGAGGACGGCTCGACGGAGGGACGAACGCCACGATGACCGGGAACGACGAAAGGACGACGACGACGACGCCGGGGCCGGCGAGGAGGCGACGAGGGCAGCTGGCAGCGGCTGCACGGAGACGAGGACGGCGTGGAACACGCCGCTGCGATGACGATGACGGTGGCGACGCAGCGAGACGACGAGCCGGGCGACCGACAGGACGTCGACGACGAGAACGAACGGAGACGACGATGATGGACCGCGGAGGGGTTTGGATGGAGGGGAAACGATGCCGAGGACGACCTTGCCGCTGCGATGCCGGAAGGGAAGGCGACGACGTCGACCGGTGCACTAGCGAGGAACAGTAGCCGGCCGGGTGAGGGGATGTACTGGATGCCGGCGAGGACTTCGTTCCGGCGAGATTTGGGCAAGGAGGAGGTGAGGACAGGGGAGTGGACAACGTCACAGTGCCGAGGGAGGTGGTGGCGACGTCGGCCGGCGCACGGGAGACGCGGCAGAGGCGGCCGGAGGCGGAACAGTGGCGTTGCCGCCACTGTCGCCGGTGGGGGCGCGTCTCCGGCGATTTCCCCACGAATCGGAGGCGGCGCCGGGGAAGAGGATGCACCTGCGAGGCCGAGGGAGAAGACGGCGCGGCCGGACGGTGCTCGGGCGAGGAGGGAGAGGCGGCTGGAGGCCGGCCGGCGCCGGAGAGAGAGAAGGAGAAGGCGGGGAGAGGTGGTGCGGCCACGGGAAGACGCGGGAGGAGGCTAAAATGATAGAACGCAAAGAGTGGGTTCCATTTTATAGGATGGGGGAGGGAGCCGGCCACCGGGGAGGTCGGAACGGCGGCGGTAAAGGCGGCCGGCGGCCATGGAAGGTGGCCGGAGTTGGCGCGGGCGTTCCCGGCGATTGGGGGCACGATTCAAGGGGGAAATTGGGGGGAATTGAAGAGGATTCAATGGGGATTAAAACCCCCCAATTAATTTGGAAAGAGCCGGCTTGAATGGGGCAGATTTGGAGGAGGAACGGCGCTAGGTTTGCACGGGAGAGAGAAGAGGCCGGCTGGGGGAGGAAGGAGACGACGACCGGGTGGGTGGGACCCACCGGTCGGGCGCGCGGCGTCAGCGCGCGTGCGGCGCGCGTGCGCACGCGACTGGCTCGGGCAGGGGGCGGCTTGGGCCGGGCGGCCGGCCCAGGAGGGGAGGCCCGGGAGAGAGAGGGGAGGGGAGGGAGCTGGGCCGGGAGGGGGAGGAGAGGCCCTGGAGAGGAGGGAAAGAGAGGGAGGAGAGGGAGACTTTGGGCTGGGCCGAGAGAGAGAGGGAGGACTTTGGGCCAGACTTGGCCCAAAGGGAGGAGGGGGATTATTTTTAGGTTTTCTTTTTAATAAACTTTGATAATTGTTTTTGGTTGCTTAATAATTATTTCCGGTGCTCTGAAAATTCAAGTAAAATTTGAGGGCTCCTTTTAGACCAAGGAGAATTTAACAAAAATTCTCCGGGCCACATTTGAATTTTTCTTGTACGTATTTTAGTGTTTGCCAATTTCTTTTCGAATTTTAATTAATTCTATTATTCCTTTTAGAAAATGATTTTTATTTCAGGATGAATTTATCAGGACGTGACAACTACTTGCACGCAAGAATTATTGAGCCAAAAATATTGCGACTTTAATTAACAGTACAAAAGAACAGTGAAATAGAGTTAATAGTTAAGTCCATTTTACCCGTGTCAGAGTGAAGGGTGAGGTGATCGTAAGGTGGCTGGCATCTCCCAAAATCAATTTTGCAGCCAGAGAGTCTAGCACAAGAGTCATATGAGCCACCCACGAAACGGCATGAGGTATAGATGTTTCTTGCCGTGCTGGATGGGCAGCAGCCCCCATCATAGTTAAGGGTGAGGTGATCGTAAGGTGGCTGGCAGCTCCCATCAAAGTGTTTGCAGGTAGATAGTTTAGCACAGGCTTCCCTTGAGCCACCCGCGAAACGGCATGAGTTATAGACGTTTCTTGCCGAGGTGGATGGGCAGCAGCTCTTAGCTTCCACATGGATCTTCTCCTGCTGCAGGACTAAGCCTAGCACCAGAGCACACATGATCAAACTCTTCACACCTTCCATGTTTCCTATCTAGTTTTCAATGAGATTTACTGGAGTATCAACAAACTAAACCAAAATGGGTTCAAAGGCTACTGCTAATTTGTTGCTCTCGTTTATGCGGATGTTGGGAGTGAGGCGCCTATTTATAGGCGCAGCCAAGCATCTCACGAGCAAGCTACACTGCATGATGCAGTGATTATTTAACTAATTGGATCATTAATAACTAGTATATTTTTTGTGCTCCATATATATTGTTTGCTTGCATTAGCTGTGGGACCTACGTACTAGCTGCCCACGTGGATCGAGTGTGTATGTGTTCTGTAGACTGCAAGTTCCGTTTTCTGAAATATTTTAGCTGCCCATGAGGTGAACGTAGTGGTATATTGAACTATTGAAGCCATCTTCAGCCTTATCAGCTTATAGCTAGTATTACTGGCCTGCAATAGTTAGATGATTGTTAAAAATTTTGCTGAAAAATTAATTCAATCACTACTGCTACCACGTAATGGGCTACTGCTGTCCTATCACTGCCGGTCGGGCGTGAGCAACACAGCTCGTTCATTTTTAATAAAAAAGCAATTAATTAATCGCTACTCTCCAAATATAGCTTTGTAGTTTTAAATTTTGGAATGGACGGAGTACTACACAATAGGCAGAGCATGTTACATCACTCTATTTGCTGCCTGCTTTAGGATCTTCGGGTGCATAATCGGCAGTGAAACTGCTACTTGCACCTAATGTTACTAAATACTCCATGCGTTTCATGTCATATGGCTTTCTAGCATTATCCACATTTATATCAATGTTAATGAATCTATACACATATATGTCTAGATTCATAATATCTATATGAATGTGAAGAATACTGGAAATTCTTACAATATGAAACAGAGGAAGTACCAGTTAAACTGTGTTCGTACTTGGTGAGTTCCCAACTTCCACTCTCACATTTTTCACGCGCACGTTTCACAACCTGCTAAACTGTTAAATCTTACAAAAGTTGCTTAAAAATCATACTCCCTCCGTTTCACAATGTAAGTTATTCTAGCATTCCCCATATTCATATTGATGTTAATGAATCTAGACATATATATATGTCTAGATTCATTAACATCAATATGAATGTGGAAAATGCTAAAACAACTTACATTGTGAAATAGTGGAAGTAGTTTTTTTTTTAAAAAAAATCCTTTTTACCTAATACTTGTCCAATCATGTGCAAATGAGTTGCTCCATTAAACGTGCTTTTGATGGAAAACACAGCGGCCTGGGAGATCTGCTTAACTCCAGTGCAGGTCCAAGGGTAGCCTCGAGAGTGTCAAGGGCTTGATAGCTGATTTGATTCTGCAATCAGCAAGAAAGATAGAAGCAGAGTTAGCCGATAGTTGATCGGCTGATAGCGTATCGTTGGTCGTCTCAGCCGATGGAGTTAGACCAAATCGGCTATAGACTGGATAGATCAAAGAATAAAAGACCCTAAACATGCCTCATCGGCTATAATACTGCTTATTAAGTTTGATAAAGAAATTTAAGACATTATTTCGAAAATAGCTGATGGAACAGTATTCAGAGCAGATGGGATTTAGAAGTAGATGGGGGTTTCAGAAGTGGGGTAGGATAGACAGATTTTAGTATTGTCTATAACAAACACACGTAGATTTAGTGATCAATGGATATGATAGTATAACATATCCAGCTAATAATTGGCTAGATATTTTTATTAACTTGGAAGCATCTAGTAAATATCCTGTTAGTATAGGTACATATATGTAAACATATCAGTAGCATTAGAGCCCACTCGAGCACAACAGTAGCGATCCATGAGAACATGAGGATTGGGTATTTGCAAGCTAATGCAGGTTTCTGACTAACGTACAACTTCTTGTCATCAACAAACTTTATAACTGGACGCGGCCAAATCCTTGTAATGTGCCACGCACTACTTAGAAAAAATATTTTTTATAGCGGTACTCTATTTTTTTTACTGGCGGTTATATAAGAAATTTGCTTGTGAAATCGTAACTAAGAGATGGGGAGTTTAGAAATAAATATTGCAACATTAATTAACAGTACAAAAGAATAGAGAAATAGAGTTAATAGTTAAGTCCGTTTTACCCGAGTTACGGTGAAGGGTGAAATGATTGTAAGGTGGCTGGCAACTCCCATCAACATTTTTGCAGCCAGAGAGTTTAGCACAAGCGTCCATTGGGGCACGGTATCAGCATAAGTTGAAGACTTTTCTTGCCGAGGTGGATGGGCAGCAGGTCGTAGCTTCCACATGGAATGTTTCCTGCTGCAGGAGTAAGCCTAGCACCGCAGTAGGGGCGTAGCTAGCTGGTGGTCCATATGGACACAGGACTACCCTAGATTCTAGCCTAGAGACCTTAATCCCCACTATCAAAATAAATTTCTTTGGCCACAAAGTTTGCTAAAGCATTTCGTATTTACCTTTGAGATTTATACTCTTAAATTGATTTGCTCTTATTCAGTCTTTACAATTCATGGATCATTTGCAAAACGAACTATACTTACTGATATATCATGCTTCTTAAACTTGTTAGTTAACCTAATAACTCTAGAGTGTTATATATTTGTTATTGCATTTTTGTCAAGCTTTGAGTTTGAGTTTGTTTATACGATTAGATTAGAGCTAGCTGTCTTTTTTTCTGTCATGGTGTTTATGTTACGATGGTTTATTCGAATTGGGCGGTCTTTAACAAATTTTGTAAATGCATATTAGATAGTATGGCGATATTAAAATTGTAGTATAATAAGTTGGCACAAGCAGGGACAAATTTTGTAAATATTGTAGTATAACTTGTTTTTCATCATTCTTTTTCTATCTACTAGGGACTTGGTCACACCTATTTTTTTTTACTTGGTCACACCTATTTTTTTCCTCCCTCACAGGAAATAGGACTACCCAACAAAAAAATTCCTAGCTACACCACTTAGCACCAGAGCACACATGATCAAACTCTTCGCACCTTCCATATTTCCTATCTAGTTTTAAGTGATGTTTACTCGAGGATCAACAAACTAAACCAAAATGGATTCAAAGGCTACTGCTAATTTGTTGCTCTCGTCTATGCGGATATTGGGAGTGAGGCGCGTATTTATAGGCGCAGCCAAGCATCTCACGACCAAGCTACACTGCATGATGCAGTGATTATTTAACTAATTGGATCATTAATAACTATATATATTGTGCGCCATATATATTGTTTGTTTGCATTAGCTGTGGTACGTAGTAGCTGCCCATGTGGATCGAGCATGTACGGTGTTCTGTAGACTGCAAGTTCCGATTTCTGAAATATTTTAGCTGCACATGAGGTGAACGTACTGGTATATTAAAGCCATATCTTCTGCCTTACCAGCATGTAGCTAGTATATTACTGGCCTGATATAGTTAGATGTTTGTTAAAAATTTTGCTGAAAAAATAATTCAATCACTACTGCTACCACGTAATGGGCTACTGCTGGCTTATCACTGCCGGTCGGGCGTGAGCAACACCGCTGGTTCATTTTTAATAAAAAAACAATCAATTAATCGCTACTCTCTCGCTCTCTCCAAATATAGCTTTGTAGTCTTAAATTTTGGAATGGACGGAGTACTACACAATACACAATAGGCAGAGTAGGTAACACTACACAAATCATTTTCCTAAACGCCGGCCCTGTTTGGTTCTAGGAGGGCCGTAACTAGCGCCGCGTGAAAAAAACTCGAGGACCGGCGCCGGGCCGGCGCCCGCACGAGAAGATGCATTATCCTGTGCAGGCCATTTAATCCGACTGCACGCGATGATGTCGGTCTATGTACACTCTAGCCCGACCATGCCGCTTTTATTCCGGCGTTTTCTCTCGTAAACTTTGAAAAATTAAGGGGAAGGTTTTCGACCTCAAATCTTTGATTTTGATCCATATATAAGGTGTAATGCTTGATCTTCTCCTTCATTTGCTTCTATTTTTGTTAGTTTTTATCGGTGCAATGCGAAGAAATTTACAGTTTTATAAATGGAGAGTGTAGGCACTTTTTGTTTTTTATTTATTTTTTGAGCTAATATGTATTGTTTGTATCACATGTTTTTCAAAGTATTCCGTAGTCCGATTCCTTTTTAGGTTTGCCTCCATTAATTTAATTTGTCATTGGATAAAGGCTAAGAAAATTTACAATTTTTTGGAAATGGACAGTTTTTATTATTGATTACAAATGTTGCATGCATGTTTAAATTCTCCGTAGAACTTTAATTTAATTTTTGTTTAGTTCCCTCTGTTTATTTCAAATTTTTTCAGTGGAATTCGACAAATATATTAGGTTTGCAAATCTAGTAATTCTAAGTAATATTTAATTTATTAATTTAATTTTATTGGAACCACTAGACCATGAATAGCAATATAATGTCCGTTTAAGTTGTATTTTTTTCATATGTTAAATATAGTACAATTCGACTCATGAAATATGTTCTTTTGGTAGATGGACCAGCAAAAAGAATTCATCTGGCGTTCTTGAAGAAAGCATCCAATTTTGTTGATCAGGCAAATGCACATGCTTTGAGGGAGAACAAGAGGGACATTTTCTGTCCATGCTTTGATTGCAGGAACGAAAAGATGATGCAAGACCCAAATGATATTTGCACATTGTAGAGCGTGGATTTATGGATTATTACAAGATATGGACTTTTCACGGGGAAGTCGCGGGTCGTAACGAAGAGGCTGATGATTTTTGCTTTGATGCGGCAAAAAATTTTATAATCGAAGACATGTCACAGGGAACGATCCCAGTGAACGTGCAGAGATGTAGCCTAGAGGGGGGGTGAATAGGCTTTCCTGAAATTTTCTCAACAATTGCATCGGTTCAATTGACAGGGCCCGGAACCTCCTGGTGATGAACACCGGAACTTCCGGGCAGCATGAGTAGCCCAGAACTTCCGGAGTTCTTGAGCCAGGAACTTCCGGGCAGCAGAGATAAATTAAACTGAGATGAAAAACAGGTCCTAGCAAGAGAAGTTTAGGCACATAGGGGAACAAGATAAAGATCGCAGAATATCAGCAGATTCACACAAAGATCATGCACAAGAGAGACAAAGACGATTTTTTCCCG